ATTTCTTTGGACAGGGGCTTGCCACATTTGGCTACATTTCTGTCTTCTAGTGACTTTCAGTACACTCAAAAAACCACAAGGTACTTTGCAAGAGATTGGAATAATAAACAGGCCTGGATTCTCCTGTCTTTTTATGACCCAGCCCCCAGCACCACTACATTCAGTGTCGCTGCACTTCAAAAACTGAAACATCGGCCTCAGTTTCCTTTCTTTTTCTAGTGCCTGCTCAAAACAAAGCACACTGACTGTAACGTTGTATTTATTGCATTGATCTGAGTAGGTGGCTCTTACAGAGCTGTAGATATTATGATCTTCTCAAATGTATCCAAATTCCAGCTACCTGTATGATTCCAAAAAGACAGGAAGATGAGAAGTCTCCAATAAGTTGCCTCTGAATTTCAGCCCACCTTACGGATCTGAGCAGCTGCATTCCACTGTGATCTCTGGACGTCTCCCAGGTGGTCTGCAGGCCCGGCTACTTTCAGAGGTTTACCCTGTGACAATGCCTCCACTTGGGTTCTGGCAGAAATTAATCTCCTTTATGGGTATCTCATCAAAACCAGACATTCTTCCTGCTGAAAAATAATGTGTGCTAATGAAGTTTGGAGAATTTAGGGCTTTCTTTTTCCCCCAGTGACAACCAGAAGCAGATAGAGAAGGTGGTTCTTAGGCATCTGTTGGCTTAAAATGTCTGAGGGTCCTCTTTTGTAAGGGCTAAAATAATGTCCATAAAAGGCTGCAAGTTCACCAAGTCCCAACCCCAACGTTCCTGTCTTATTCTCATTCACAAAGAGCTAAGCGGAGATTAGAACTAGGAATGTGTTCCCTCCTACCCTTTCCTCTCTGATATCTAACCTGCCAAAGCAAGAGCAAGGTCTGGCTTCTAAGTGGCTGACAATTACACAACTTTCACAGGCACAAAACCACTTTCACAGGCACAAAACCACTTTAGATTAGAATGCATTGTATCCAGGTCATAGAATGTATAGAGATGAAGATTTGAGGTCCATCTACACACATGACCTGCTGTCTGACCTTAGCTAAATAAGTATATCTACTTTTCCCAGAATTGTGTTCTTGATAACTAAAGAGAGATATAAACAAATACCACTAAGCAAGTGAAACTCCTTTCAAAAATATATATATATTTTTTTTCAGTACAATTATGTATGTTCACCATTATAAACATGAGACAATAGTTTACTGGTCTCATTCTTTACAAATAGTTACTTGAGGTAAAGCTCTGTTGGTTTACATGGAATAATTAAGTAATAATAATAGTTATTCTTTTCTAAGCAGACAGTTATAATAATAGATTCATATGTACATAATCAAGTCTGGCAGAAGGTGGCAGACATTCCCAGTTAAGTGCATACTAACCAGGGTTTCGATAACTTAATAAAAGTAAACTGTTTAAAGTGGTGATAGCACATTTGGGAAGAGTGGTTTACCTGAACCAGAATAGCAAGATTACAATTTATATTAAAAGCATTGTTTCCTAGGGATAGAGATATCAACTGGAACACAACATCTAATGTGACTGACACACAGACCTTTATCAAATCCATATTTATGTTCCCTATATGTGTAATTACTTCACCTACATGGCCTTTCTATCTTGTGTAAGTGTAATATATGTCCAGGTTCAGACTATGTAGCTGCTAAATAAAATACTGTGTAATACCCATTTACACTTCATACATGTTCATCGATGCTTTAAATTCTATCTGTCCAGATGTGACTGCTTGGTTGTGTGGCCACCTGCCGAGTCCCCTTTGTGATCTGATCAGTCCAGGCAGCTCCTGTTTCTGCCTCTAACACCCTGTTGGGCAGTAATAAGATGTTAAAGGCAACAACAGAAAGAGAAGCCAGGCTGTCAGCTTCAGAGAGAAGGGGGCGAAGGGTACAAGGAGGAGGACTAGAAAAGAGAGTTGAGAGGAGATCAAAGACAGGCAAGAAGAAAGCCAAATTGTTAAGAGGAGATGTGGCTCCAGGAGGTTGGGCCCCTAAGAAGACCCCAAAGCAATGAGATTCAAATTGCGCCATCCAGTTACCTGAGCTATTGAATTATTGAATGTCCCATGTGCAAAAAGCTAGTATAAATGAGAAACGGTCCATACTCAGGGCAGACAGAGCTCTGCAGAGGTGTTGCATGAAATCCGATTTTCTTTCTTCTCAGAACATTACCTACCACCACTTCATTCCCCAAACCTTTGTGTGACCAGTTTCAGTAGGGGGCGTTAGTGGTGGTGGTCTTTTTTTTTTTTTTTTTCTTTTCTTTTTTTTTTTTTTAAGGGGAGAGAGAGACTCCGAACGCACGCAGAGAAAATGCTAATGTCATTCGGCTCCGTTTCATTGTCAGGAGGGACACAGGGGGATGAAAACATCGCTCTCCAAACCGTACTCCCTGCTCCCCCGCTCCCAGCACCACCTTCCATCCCTCCTCTCGGCTTGATGAGTCTCTGCGCTTTGTTCTAATTTAGTCCATGCATAATTTATTCACGTGTGTATTGTTTCCTGATCAGCAACTTTTAAAAACAAATGAAAAATAAGATGTTTTATTAAACAAGTTGTTTTAAAAAATAAAGGCAGATGGTGTTGGTCTCCCAATAACAACGTGTGTGCTCCTGCCTTAGGAGTTTAAAACCCGTCCTGGGCGCAGAAGGCTTGGATGGCCGGGGTTATTGTTTACACCCCCGTACCCCCAGGGAAAGGGGTTGGGGTGCAAAAAAAGAGCAGCTAATTACAAAGGACCACTCAACTCCCACCTAGAAAAAGCCAGCAGGAGTGTTGTACATAGGTTAGTGTGTGCGTGTATGGCCACACAGAACTACAAATACATCACACTGTAACTGTTTCTAATCAAAGTTCAAGTATAAAAATTCATAACTAATCCTACTAACCAGAACGCTTTTCTGTCCCTTCCCCCACCTATAACCCAACCCTACATAGAAACCCTCCTCAAACACGTACCCTTCTGCAGTCCAAAAACAAAAACAAAAAGCCGGAGCGAGCAGGGAAACCCTGGAGCGTAGAGACATTGCGCCCGCCCGCGCGTAAGCGGGCTCCAGGGTAACCAGGGTACCAATTTCCCGTTAGGAAGCAAACCTGGCGCACATGTGAAATTTCTCTAACTTGAGTTTTCTGGGTGGCATCAACCTGATTATGTGATTTCGGCTGGAAATGGGTAAACCGCAAATCCGCTGTGGCCTCGATAGAAGCCCAAAGCATCAGCGGTGTGGCAGCGCGAGAGACGGGGAGAGCGAGGATGCGGCGAAGTTACGCCCATTTATTCTGCCATAAAACATTTTCTTTCTTGGGTGAAAGGCTGTGGCGTAGAAGTGCAGTATATTAGAGGTTCAGAGCGAGAACTGATGTCGGGAGCTGCTGCTCTCTGATCAGCCTCAGCTTCAAATATCCTCGTAACAGTAGCTTTAATATATGTGTATATATTTAAAACTCCGAGACCTGGGACGTTCTTACCCTTTTCCCTGTTAGTGATGGGAGATAAGCTGGTGCAAACGCATTCCATCCTCCCCGAGCGTTCCTTGCCAATAGGAATCCCCCTGCCGCCCCCTCCAAGGTGCAAACGTGGATTTCAACTCTTAAGAGGAGGTGGGGGTGCGGACACCGATGCGCGGAGTTGAAAGAATCTAAGTGGGTGCCTGCCACGCGTCCGCGAGAATTTGGCACGAAACGCCCCCCACTCGCACTTCCCCCTCGCCTCACCCGCGGCTTCCAGGCCGGCTGGGAAGACCCGATTCCCCTGGTGAGGGCTCCCACCCACGTCACGCCGTGATCCGGAGAGAGCTCCCTTCTGCCAACATCACTGCCAACAGCACCTCTTTCAGAGCCACGCTAGTTTTCCGAAGCCACCCCCGGCTCCGCGATCGCGAGCGGACTTGGCGGCTTAACAGTTCCACGGACTGGAAGGAAGGAAGGAAGGAAGGAAGCCAAGATGAAAAGGAGGAGGAAGGCGGGCAGGCAGGAATTGGCTGTCGGACCCGGGGACTGGCCCCCGCGTGTCCTCGTGCAGCCCGCCCCCCTCCGTCCCGGATCTGGGCGTCCGCTCAAAGTCTCCCGGCGGCGGCCAGAGGCACCTGCCCCTCGCTCTGGCCCGGAGCAGACGCTGGCCGCTCAGGCGGGGAGCCCCAAGCTGCCTCTTCGCCTGCCTCGGCTTTTCACCCAGAAGAGGCAAGAACACCGTTCCTGAGACCTGCAGTTCCCTGCCTCCAAATCAACCCCAAGTTAACCTGCGTCGTTAATTCACTATAGCCAGTTCGCCCACAAACACACACAGAGATACACCGGCAACCGCCCGGAGCGCCGTCACGGTCCGCAGGCTGCCCCGGCAGGAAAGCCCCGGGCAACCACCTGGACCCCAGGGCTCCCGGGACCCGCTGCTCCCCCTGCAGTCCTCCCAACTCCGGAAGGTTTGCACAAACTAACTCCCCGCCAGCGATCGGAAGGAGCAGAGCTCCTTGCAAACTCCGGAGGTGCGGCGGTCCGCTCGCCCCGGCGGAATGAGCCGCGGGGCGGGCGCCGCGGGCTCCGGAGGTGCGAGGCTCCGCCAAGTGCACCCAGGCGGCCCCTGCCCGGCGCTCGCTCCCCGCTCGGCCGCCCCCAGCGCCCCGCTCGCCGCCCGGAGAAGCCGGGCACTCGGGGGACCGTGCGGTCCCCGAGCTGCCCACGAACCCCTAGCTGCAGAGCGCTCGAGCGCCAGGCTGCCCTGCCGATAGCCCTTCTCTCTCTCCGTCCGCCAATTAAGCAGAACACAAACGTAACAATTTTCTTCTTGTTAATTGCATCTCCTGACATTTCTGCGTGTTGTGAGGAAAAAAAGAAGATGAAGAAGTAAGAGCTGAAAGAAAAGAGAGAAGCCCCGCAGCGGCTGCAGGCGCCTGCAAGCGCAGTACATTGACAGCGCTCGGCACGCAGAAGGCGCCTTTTTTTTCATATTGAAACCACGCGGAATATGTACATTTTTTAGTCTTACTTACGCTTTCAGGGGGTTGTGAATGACAGTCGCCATTTTGCTACAATGTAACAGAATATTGTCTGTCTCAGAGTTCTAAAGGTTCGCTCAGGGGAAGCAGCGAGCCAATCAGAGCACGGGATACCGGCCCGCCGGCCAATCGACGCGACTGGTCGCCAGGTGGGCGGGGCCTGCACGGTGGTAGTTATTAGGGGAGCTGTCAAAGCCCAGAGGTCACTCCCTTTTGTAGAGCCCGAGAGCGAGCAGGTCTTAAAGGGGCAGTACCGCGTGAGCAGCTCTTTTTCGGACTGAGGAGAGTAGAGACACACGGGAGAGTATTCTAGTTTGATTTGAGTTTCTACTTTCTAAATAAATGCAGAGAGTTTGCGCTTCCGGACATAAATATTTAAGTATTTTCAGCAAACCGTTGAACTCCATTCATTAGCTTTTGGCTTTTCTGTTACGTTTATAATCCCCAAAGGGCAAATCCCTTGTTCCCGTGCAAAAGTTGGAAGGCTGCCGTTTTGTCTAACAGATTACGTGCCCAGCTGTTTGCTACTGCTCTCGGTCCTGCGGCTTTTTAACATTCTCATTCCCTAAGTGTTTTTCTTTATCTCGGCCACCTTCCTCTCGGTTTCTTGGAACTGCCGCCGCCGTTCCTGGCGACTCCAGGACAGCAACTCCCCTCCCCCCTGGAATGTCTCAATGTCAGGCCCGGTCCCTCCTGTAGCCCGGGCTTTCGTTACGTAATGCACGGTGGTCACTCCGAGAGGTTCTCCACTACCACCCCTTCTGATCTACACACACACACACCAGGAACTTCTGCAGTGATCAGATTCAGGGCGACTGGAGAGTAGAGTGGGACCTGGCTCTTAGACCTGGCTCTGGGGTAGGAGAGTTTTAAAGAAACTTTTGGGAATGTATTCTACTACTGCTAGTAACTAGACTGAAGTTCTAGGACCTAACCTGGGTGTTGCCAGAGCCTCTTTCCGTGAGTAGCACACGAGAGTCTGGCATCACCTGTCACTGCTTAGATAGAAGGTAAAAAGAATTTGCTAATGAACAATCTGATGTGACCAGAGATGTTCAGAGTCTGTGTCTGCTTCAAGCCAGTGTGAACTCTTCACTGGAGAACCTCTGACAAAATTGAGAGATTTCTGTGAAGCCAGACTTCCACTGGGCAGTCCGGAAGCTCGAGGTGGATGAAATCGCACTAAATCCTGAGTAGGGACCTCGTTAGCATGCAGAAATCTGGCTACCATCCCAAAATTGTTTAATCGGGTCAAATAGCTAAAATATTGTGGGAGGGGTGGAATGGGGGGAGAAGAAAGGCCAAATGGCCAGTTCTTCAAAGCTGTGCACTCTAACTTGCTTTCTCAGCGCTCTTCTCAAGGCACTGAATAAAATTTTTTTTAAATTTTTTTAAGTTCCCAAACTTTCAGAGTTCAGCTCCATAGACTTGGAGTTACAGATAAATGGAACAGGGCTGAAGCAGTATATTTGTAAAACTTTATAATTTTAACCCCTTCAGCCCTGGCTGGTGTGGCTCAGAGGATTGAGCCCCTACCTGGCCTGCAAACTGAAAGGTCACTGGTCTGATGCCCAGTCAGAACACATGCCTGGGTGGTAGGCCAGATCCCCATTTGAGGATGTGAGAGAGGCAACCAATCAGTGCTTCTCTTGCACATTGATGTTTCTCTCCCTTTCTTTCTCCTCCCCTTCTCCTCTCTCTAAAAATAAATAACAATCTTTTTTAAAAAATTTTAACCCCTTCATTCTACCTAGTTATTAGCAGAGTCAACTTCTGTAGATTGCTTTGTACAGCATCTTGCAATTGGAAGTTATCCTCTTTTCTAAAATTAAAGTTTGAAAAATCCCTTTCTTATTAATTTGTCAAGGGATTGGTTCAAAAGTTAGTACTTTGCCTGGCGTGGGCCTTGACAACATTAAAAAGCAAGCACTGTATTCTGACACAAGAAGTATGAGGTTGATTTCTCTCTCACATCATGTTTCTCTCCCTCTCTTTCCCACGCTTCCCCTCCCTCTGAAATCAACGAGCATGTCCTCTGGTGAGGAATTTAAAAAAAAAAAAAAGTATGAGTTTGAGGTACCAGTCAGAATTCCCACCAGCCTCTTTGACATACTAAAATTACAACAATTCCAGTTGGAAGACAACAGCATATTTTAATATACGCAGTTTAATAAAGTAAGCACGAAATGTAGAGTCTGCCCTGAACAAGGCTTACAATTTAATAAGAGAGGGGAAATAAATGTATATTACATATTGAAGCAAAAATATATACAATACTTTAAGCCTATATTACCACTTATTGTGTTAAAGTCCAGAAGCAGAAACCAGCATGATTCATAAATATCTGGCACACTTGAAAATGGCAGACCAGATCCGTCTTTGAGAAATTTTAATCCAGAATGTAAATATTTAAGTTACATTTTATAATGATTGAATTGAAAAAGAATTAAAGATGACTTTTTTTGTATAAATTTTTATTTATTGATTTTAGAGAGAGAGAGAAATGTCAATTTCTTGTTCCACTTATTGATGCCTTCATTATTGGTTGATTCTTTTATGTGCCCTGACCAAGGATCAAACCCACAACCTTGGCATTTCGGGACAACTTAGCTACCCAGGTAGGGCACAAATGGGATTTTTTTAAAGTAGGGTAGCCTTGCTTTTTATAATCTGATGGAATGTCATTTTAACTCTACCAACATAAGTATGACTTTTAAATAATGTGAATTCACTTTTTATCAATTTTAAGACATATAAAAGCTATTACTATTTTAACTTTGTTTTTTAAATAACTTCATATCTTAGATCAAGATTTTTTTCTTTCTTTCTTTTTCTTTTTCTTTTAATGGCAAAGCAGGTTCTACCTGTCAATTTACAGATGGCCTGCTCCATCTGCAATGAAGCCAAATTTTTCGGATAAGCTTTAAAATGTACTGATCTCACTCCACAAAAAGGCACGTATTTTTTTGCCGTAATGCCAAAAAGGAAGGGGGCTTAGCTTGGGTTTGTTAAAAGGAGACAGAGACCTTAAACAGTTTTGGAGAATGGTAAATTTTACATTAATTTTGCAAGGAAGCTCAGAATATAGTTAGAAGTGTGCGGTCTGGAATCCACCTGCCTGAGTTCACCATTTGCAAACTGGGTGGTCTTGGGCAAGTTTACTTAGCAATTTGAATGTTTCCTCATCCAAAAAATGGCAATAATCATAGAACCTAGTTCATGTGACTCTTTCCAGGATAGAATGAGGTAATACATGTCAAGAGTCCAAGCTTTCAATATATGCTAATTATCATTTTTTTAATGTATTTAATTCTTTCCTGTTGACATAAAAAATTGAGGAGATCCAAATAAAGTGACACATCAGAAAATGAAACTGTCACGCTCACATCAGCAGCACATATGCTACAATTGGAAGAACACAGAGATGATTAGCGTGGCCCCTGTGCAAAGGCGACACACAAACCTGTGCAGCATTCTATCATTTTTATTAAACGCTGATTTTTTAATATTCTATAAACAATTATAAATAATTTTTTTATTGAAAAATGTTTTTAAATGGCATTTACTCACCATACAAACAACTATTTAAAATGTGGATAAGTTTATGTTGTATTTTCTGGTTTTTGCACCTTTAAAACAATAAGGTGCTTTCATTTTGCACTCTAACTTGAGTTGTATATCCACTTTATTTGTTATTACCTAATTACAATTTTGAAAATAGGGGAAAAAAAGAAAGTGAAATTGTCTCTTAGATTTGGTGTTTTTAAACTCATTAATTAAGAAAAATGAACAAAGAACACTTTGATGAGAACAAAATAATATTGGGTTGGCCAAGAAGTTTATTTATTTTCTTCCATAAAATAAAACACATTTTTCATTTTCACCAATAACTTTGTTGATTTGGATATTTTGAGTATGTCGGCTATTTCCCATGTGGTATAACATTAATTGTTCTCAATTATTGTCTTAATTTGATCTCTATCAACTTCAAGTGGTCCACCCGACATGGAGCATTGTCCAGCAAGAAATCTCCAGCACAACATTTTGCAAACCACTTTTGCCATGTTTGATCAGTCACAGCACCTTCTCTGTACACTGCACAAACCCTTTTTTTTTTTTTTTTTGCTTTTTCAGTTGCATTTTTACCTTTCATGAAATAATAAAACATAATATGCCAAAAATGTTACATGTTTTCTTCCATCTTCAACATTAAAATGGCTACACAAAAATTCATCAATTTTGATAAGCTTTTTTTTAACGCACACTGATATGACAGCTGTCAAAATACACTCAAACAAAATTGTTTCAAATGAAGTTAAAGACAACTAAGCACTACTAGAGCCATCTTATGGAAAAAAACAAACAAACTCTTTGGCCAACTCCAATACTTAAGACTGTTTTAGCTACGGGTCATATAACTACTTAAACCCCCAAAATATTCTCTGGCTAATTATGATACCAAGATGCTTTTAAAATAACATCTCTAAAGCTCTATAGGTATTTATATATTTGTACACACTTATCTCTCCTCATCTCTTTTATGTTGATATAGCTGGTTAGGCGGCTTATTCGAAGGCAGGGTGGGCCCAGAATAGCCATTTCCTCACCCTCCTTGGACATTCTAGAGCCGTGCTGTCCAGCACAGAGCTATGAGTTACATGGAGCTACCAAGCACTTGAAGTGTGGTTAGTCTAAATTAAGATGTGCTACAAGTATAAAACATATACCAGATTTCTTAGACTTAGTACAAAAAAAAGTAAAATATCTCAATAATTTTCATGCTGATTGCATGTTGAAACAACAGTATTTTTATTTCCTGGGTTAAATTTAAATGTTAAAACTAATTTCACCTGTTTCTTTTTACCTTTTTAATGTGGCTACTAGGAAATTAAAAATTACAGTTCATGTTGTATTTCTATTATACAGCATTGCTCTACCAGGGATGTCCAATCTTTTGGCGTCTCTGGGACACACTGGAAGAAGAATTATCTGGGGCCACACATTAAATACATTGTATCATGTAATCACCAAAAAACCTCATAACGTTTTAAGTAAATTTAGAATTTTGTGTTGGGCTGCATGTAGCTGCCCTACTAGACTCTGTGTGTGTGTGTGTGTGTGTGTGTGTGTGTGTGTGTGTGTGTGTGTGTGTGTGTGCGCGCGCGCGCGCGCGAGAGAGAGAGAGAGAGAGAGAGAGAAGGGAAAGAAGGGTAAGGCCCTTCTCAATCATGTTAATCCATTTTGTGCAACCTTCTCAAATTCAGCCTTGACATCAGTGAGCAAAACTTTCTGGTTCAGCTCAAGTGTATATTCGAAGCCACCTATCCAAAGGAACATTTGGGGTGCAACCAAGCACCCAAGGACCTGAACCGTAAGGGACACTCAATTCTGTTTACTTCTAAAAAAGTTTGAAGACTCTTTCAGCAGACCACAAGTCAAAGCTGTGAGGAGATGCCCACCCAGACGCAGAGAAGTTTAGGACTTCTGTAGCAAGTGTCGGCCTTTCCAGATGACTTTTTAAGGCACTTGGAACATGAGCAAGAAGTAAGGGAAGGAGATGCAGCCTTACCTAGAGCCAGAGCCCATTTGAAATAGGAAGAGTGCCACGAAAGTCATCCAAAATAAATGTGTTCCTAACAGGCTCTTGGAGTTGAAGGAGTTTCAAGTCCTGTAGGTATTTAAAAAAAACAAAACAACAAGCTCACCCGCGGTCCTTCCATTCATTCACAGAACACCCAGCCATGGCCTCTCAGCTGAGTGGCCATGCTGGCTCTCTGAGATGCAGAACCAGCTCTGGTATGTTCTAGGCACTGACTTGAAGAAGGAATGTCAAAAGTGCAGTCTGGTTTTCTCTCTTCTTGGGGATGTGGGTGGAAGGGGTTTTACTTCCTTCATGAAATGAAATTCTGGGTATTGGAGATGCTCCCTGGGCCAGACCTCCGAAACCTCATGTATCAGGCTAGAGTCAAACAGAAACCAATGTTGCTCCTTCCCACTAACTCAGTTCATTCATTCACTCATTCATTGGAAGCTCTCTATGAGGGAGGCATTGTATTAGGCACAGGTGGTAAAATCAAAATACACCAGACATGGACACAATCCTTAAAAAACAATCCCCGTCCATCTGGAGAGAGAATAAAGATAGTGGGCCCAACCCTACAAGCAAGCAGAGTAATTAATTACTTGATGTGACTTTGGAAAAGCAGCCTGCCCAGCGAGTCTCTCCTTTTCCTGGCATGGTGCCCATAACCCCGATAGATGCATTCTTGAGTGTTTATTGAGCGCGTTCGTTGCTTTGGGTTTTCAAGGTTTCATGATATCGAGATTTTCATAAATTGGTATAAAACAAGAGGGAAGTGACTCACTCAATAGAGGGAGCAGGTACCCCTAACGTTGGGGGAGGGCAAGTCTTCATAAAAAAGGTCACATTTAATTTGGGTCCTGATGGGTAGATTTTAGAAATGAGGCAAGGGATTAAAGGTCTTCCAGACCCAAAACATAACTTAAGAGCAGCTAATTTATACAGTCAATATTTGTTGATTCCCTACTCTGTACCACCATGCCTCCCCATCTGTGGGACCGTGGGGTGCAGGGAGACTTAAGATGGTCCCGCCTTTAAAGGACTCATATTTGAAAGGTGGAGGAAGGGGGACCAGGGAGTGACAATGCAGGGCCATGACGCGGAGGAATGAGGGGCACTGCGGGCTTGAATGAGCACAGCAACCAGACAGGAAGGTCAGGGTTCTCTTCTCGGAAAAGGTGATGTCAAAGCTAAGTGACCATAAGAGAAAAGATGCCCCTGCAGAGGTGGCAGCATCTATAAAAGCCTTCAGGGACATGAGAGGTCATCATGATTTCAGGGAACCCCTTTGGTAGGAAGGTTGTTGGATGCAGGGGGACAAGTGAGACAGAAAAAACTAGAGAGGCCAGAAAGGGATGTCAATGAAACAGACGTGGAGTTTTATCTGGGTGACAATCAGGCAACACGGAGGCATGTTAAGCAAGGGGCAAAAATGAACAGGTTGACTTTTCAGAAAGTCCATCTCAACAGCAGAGTGACCATGGGTTGGAGAGAGGCTGAGCTGGAGGCCTGGGAACCTGCTGGGCATCAGAATTAGCGATTTCTAAGGAAGTGAAACGTGCAGGACTTGGTGGCCAGCTTGCTGTGGGCCTGAGAGAGCTGGGAGCGGCCCAGGATGATGCCAAGTTTCATCATCCTGGTTCCTGGAAATGACATTAGTGGGCTCCACTTGATTGGAGAAACATGAAGTCAAGGCCAAGGCCTGAAGGCTGAATGCCAGTGAAGCCCTGGGACATTCTATTGTCAGAGAGGGGCTTGCCTTACCAGAAGACCTTAATCCCTCATCTAAATCTCTTCGCCTGGGAAAACAGTGACCTAGGCTGGGATCCTCTTAGGCCCCTCTCTTCAGGCTTTTCCTTTCTCTATGGACCCTGTCTCTCATCAAGGACCTCTTCCAAATCCCCTCCTGCTGATTCCTACCCTTTGGCTCAGGCCATGCCCTGAATTGGATTAAAGGAGTCTCCCTCCTGGATAGGTAGGATTCCAGGACACTCCAAAACCTTCCCAAGGGAGGGATCAAGACCTCATGACAGCCCTGGCTGGTGTGGCTCAGTGGATCGAGTGCCAGTCTGCAAACCAAATGGTCGCAGGTTCAATTCCCAGTCACGGCACCTGCCTGGAGATGTAACCACACATTGATGTTTCTCTCCCTCTCTTTCTGTCTCTCTTCCCTTCTCTCTAAAAATAAATAAATAAAAACTTTAAAAATAAAAAAAAAAAGACTTCAAGAGATATATGGCACGTACACACTCAGGCACGCAGAAGCAGTGGCTTGATTAGAATCTCAGGCACCTGGAAAGGCAGCAGATGGGATATTTTTATACAGGAGCTTTCTCCACTCATATCACACAAAGTAATCAGTCTACTCTGAGGTCTGGCCTCTGCCCCACTCTTCCCTCACCAATACCAGACAATCACAAGTGGGCCTCGGGTCTTCCTACTGATAAAGCCATTGCTTACAGAGCTCTCGGCGCATCTATTTTTTAAAGAAAGATAGCTGACTTCTCTCTCCTATGCTCTGCTACCTGCCAAGTCCAGATTTTCTAAGTCTCCCTCAGTATATCCACATGAACACTATATTTGAAATGCTGGCAACTCCTGCATCCTAAATCAAAGCGACTGGCAGGGTTGTCCTGAGGAGAGGGCCAGAATGGAGCAGCGAAAAGAGAGTTGCCGCCATTACCATCATGGGGAGTGGTTAGAACCATGTTTGGACCAAGAAAAACATAAGCCAATTTCTCTTAACTATATCCATCTTTGCAAAAATCAATTCACCCTCTCAGTCATATCCTGGGTAAAGAAATGTCTTTTATGCTGCAAAAGTGACTGACTTGAGGGCCCCCAAAGAGGGCTTTCTGTGGGGTATTGCTTTAAGTGTGGTGACAGTCTGTGGCACCTGTTTCC